TTTTATTTTTATTTATTTTAAAAAAATAAATTTTTTTAAAAAAAAATTTAAGTAAATTAATAAAACTGTCGTTCAACAATTAATAACATAAAAATATTTCTGAAAATAGTAAAATTATATTTGTGTAATGAAATCAGTAATCATCTACTATAACAAATAATTTGTTAACGCTATAATGAATTATTTATTATATATACTGCATAATTCATTATAGCGTTAACGAAGATTCTTATAATGAAATCCTGATCGGTTGGATCAGTAACTTCATTATATCGAGGTGTGACTGTACTTGTTATACAAAATTTATCAAATATTAAGCTAACTAATTTTAATTATATATGTATCAAAAACTTGAAAATGGCTTATGTGATTATGAATAAAGTAATGATATCTATTTGCTAAAATTTTGAATAAGTCAGTTTAACTTAACTTGTTATTGGCTTGAATTGAACCATTTTTTTGGTTCAATTTAGCTTAGCTTAAGGAGATCAATTAATAATTCAAGCTAAGCTAAGTCAGCTTACAAACTGTCTCATTTGGTTTGCATTTATATTTCAAAACAAAATTTTTTTGAGAAAAATGTTTCTCATTAAGAGCAGCATAGTCATTGGACTCAAGTCAAAAAAAATTACTTGAGTCAAGTAGAGTTAAGAATTCTTTTGACTCAAAAAGTACCCAAATCAGAATTCGAATCAGAATTTGAGTATAGGATTCAAGTATCTAATTCGAGTTAGCATTCGAATACTGTGCATTCGAATGTTAACTCGAGTTTAATTTTTTTCATGAGACAGCTATTACCTAATTTAGAAATTTAACGACTATAATATTATTAACAGCATATCTAATAATGTTTTTTTATCCTTATTTTTATCCTTACGAGTAATTGTAAATATTATCATATTTCGTCACGTTAAATTCAAATATTCATATGACATTTTAACGAATAAATAATTAATAGACAAAACAAGCATTATAAAATAAAAATTAATTTTTGTAATTATGCGATACCAGTTTCAATTCAAATTATCAATGAATATGATTTACAATAACAATCAAAATACTATAATAATTTTATTAATATATGAAATTTTTGACTTTTCAGGAATTTCGATAAATTTTATAATTTTTGCCAAAAGAAACATCAATTATATTGCTTGATTATCTATCTTCTGGTGGAAAAATACTATCAAAAAGATTTATATTTCTTTTTAAAATAACATTTCACCTACTAACTCTGTTTAAGATTTAATCTTTTTGTTATTATATTATTTCCTACATCTGAAAACAATCTTTCGGATGGAACTGATGTTAGATAAATTTCCAAATATTTACGTGCAAGTGTTGATAATATTGGAAAACGTGATTGTTTTAGTTTCCTTCAGTCAAATGGATCAGTATCCTTCCCTTCCTCTTCTAAAGATAGATAATTATCTAATTCATTTTTGTTTTTACTCAATTCATTTGGTTTAGCATAAATGTTATCTAAAATTGATATTCTTTTTTCATATACTTCATCATTATCTTCACTGCCTTCAATTTTTCTGTATTGGAGTAAGTTTTAGATGTAGATCATGATATTAAAAATAAAAATATTCATTATCCTCATGATTCTATTATTATATTAAAAAATATAAATATGTTAAAATTTATTATTTTAAAATAAAAATTAGTTTTAAGTAAACATTATAATTACTTCTTTTATAGCCTCTTCTTCATCTTTAAAAATATCACAAAGTTTTTTATATATAATATTCTTTGTTATCTCAGTTGTAAATCATAAATTTTTAAATCGCAGATCTAATACACAGGCTATCATAGCAACAGTTTCAGATGTTTTCTAATATTTTAACATACTCTCATATATTGTTTGTTTTATTTCTTTAATATAATTTCTATTTTGAAAGTTTAAAGGCTTAGAAATATCCACGTTATTTTTATTTTTACTATTTTCATTAGAAATTTCAATAAAATCCTCATTATCTTCTATAACTTTTTTTATAGTTTCAAATAGATTAATTTCATCATCATTATCCAATTTACCTTCAATTTCAGTAATTAAAGATTCATTATTTAGTTGAATTTCAGATATAAGTCGAGATATAGCAAGATATATAAGTGATATTATAACATATTTAGATCCACTAAGCAATACCATTGCTTCTTTAAATCTTTGTAATAAATTAACGAGATCGTCTAGTAGTTTTCATTCATCCTTTGTAAGTATTATTCATTGTAATTTTTGACTATCTTTTTTAGCATCTAGATTAAGATCAGATTGTAAATGATTAGGTAAAAAAATGATTGTACGTTTGAGCCTTAATAACCTTTTCCAGGCATAAAATGAAGAATTTTATCAAGTAGAAACATCTCCAGTTACTAAAGAAATATTTGTATAATTAAGTTCCCTTTGTGCTGCATTTAATCTTTTTGATTGTTTAGGTGATATATGAAAAAAATCAATAAACTGCTTAACTCGTAAAATAAGTACTCTAATAATATTTAATTCTTTACTAACTGTTAATTGTAATATATAGGTAACACATGGTAAGCGATTAATATTTTCCATTATTCGAGCAGCTTTTTTAATATTCAGATCATTATCAGTTGTTAATACAATTATTATTTTAGTTAAATTCTATTTTTCAAAAATTTCTATTAAAAGTTGTGATTAAATATGATCACCGCAATTAAAAAAAATGGTGCAATTGAGTTGCAACTTGTGGCGCAATTAAATTTCCTTATGGCGTAATTAAGTTGCAACTCAATTGAAATTTGTAAATAATTATGGGGACCATCTTTAGTTGTGATATAATTTCTCCAATATAAGGATATGGAACCTGTTTTAGTTCTAAAAGTATTTTCTTAAATTTTCAATCTATTGATATTTAAGAACATATTACACCAATATATTCTTGTTTTGCTCTACTTATCTAAAATCTGTGGTTATAGAGGCAACAATATAATCACTTTTTAATAACTCATTAAGTTGTATACAACTCCATATATAAGCTTTACTAATTATAGTTTTAATTGTTTTATCACAAGAAACAATAAAATTCTTATCAAGAGAATATAGCAAATTACGAAAACTTTTGCAATTTAGAATATTAAATGCTTGATTATTATCCAAAATTAATTCTACTAATAATTGACAAGATTCTTTATATTCTTCTTCTTTTTTCAATCATTGATTTTTATTGCATCTCGTATATCTAATTGGTTTGAAGATTTTTTATTATCTATATTTTCTCATTTAGTTTATATACCTTATGAATTCGTACAAGATGACTAATTAAATTTGATGTTGTAGAACCATCATTATAAGAAACGCCACATTCTTTACCATTATGCATAATAACAGCACATGTAGATGTAATTAAGTTTTCTAAATGATGAAAGTAACACTACACAAAACTACCTCCTTTTGGTATTTCACTTTCAGGTATTGAACTTATAGCAATAATAATATCACTTTTATTTTTTTCATCTTTATTATATGCTTCCTCTTGTTCCTGTTGT